CCCAGCTTCTTGTGCACCTCCAGCCTTCTCAGTCGGTAGAGCATGGGAAGCTGAAAAGTCCTTGACTATAGTGTAAGCTGCTCAGCAACAACTAAAACATGGGTGTGTTATCAACACTGTTCTCACACTAAATCCAAACCACAGCACTGTACCAGCTACTAGGAAGGAAATTAACTCTATCCCTGCCGAAACCAGGACACCCTGTTAAGTCAGCAAGGAAGTGCCAAGTCTACAGCAATCACAGAACATCATCCTTTTTTGTTGTTAGCAGTCTTTCTCAACCTGAGATTGTTTAGTTGGAAGTAAATTATTTCACAACTCCTTTTAATCTACTAAGACAGATTTAATAATATATTGGTTATGACAATGCTAGGCCCTAGATAAGTGTTTCAAAAACCGTAGACAGAAATCTTGACCTTGAGGATTAGGCAGAAAGAAGCAGGACTAGCTCTTCTTTGCTTCTGATTACAGTAACATTTTCAGCACTTCATCATTCCTCTGAATGCTTGCTACAAGCCCCTTGGCTCATGATTTGCCTTTTGAAAACCACTGCTACATAAAACTGCATACTGTATTGAGTATATTTGAGGACTGTAAGCTTTTAATTCTTTTAAAAGATCTGTATTTATTTTCTTAGAGCTCTTTCCTGTATGTAAGTAACAGAAGGCATTACTGAATGCCAAGTATCTTTATCTTTTTATAGGTGCATCAGGACTTTAGGAGGTAACAGCTACACTTACATTATTGTGGAAAAAGCCACCTTTTACACGTATAAAAAATTTGAATACGCATCTAACCAAACCCCTCTCTGTCACACTTCTAAAAAGCCATTTACATGCATTCGATCATACACTTTTTCTGATGCTGTAGAAACTGTCAAAAATAACCTGAAAAAAATGGGTCAGTCTACAAATAACCTATGATTCTATGATAACAGGAGCTTTGCCATTAGTCTCCTGTGCTGGAAGCCCAGCAGAGGGAGCTTGTGAATTAGTTATAATACTCAAAAATGCTGTAAAAAATAGATATACGTGTCTGTCTTCAGCAGGACAGCTGACTCAAGCA